TAACAGTGAAAGCATTACCAAAACATACCACCTCCACTGACCTTAATTGTAAAGATCACCTCAGTTAAGAAAACACTTGGGTTTACACTTGAATATTCAGAGAGCTGACCCTGCTGATCTCTCTGCCACCAAGATCAAAATTTGGCTCCAGAAAGCTTTAAACGCTAAGTAATTTCCCTCAATAGTATTTTTATCATGACATCGTGCCAGTTGTATTTTATCTACCTTCAGATAAACCCTTTAAAGTTTCATTCCTCTTTAATATGCATTTCATTAAACACAAGTCACTCCTATGACACTACACAACGAACAGCTCACATACTCTTCACAATATACTGTCAAAATGAGAATTGACTCCGTCAGGTTCTAGCATACATTGTCCTCCTTTGAGCTCACACATTTGTACTCTGAACTCCACTCAACACTACTGGTACCTAAATGAATACTTTTCCAGCCTCTCCTTCTTGACTTTAAAAATATACAGTTATCCTTGGAAACAGACTCGGAATGCATACCAGCCACCTCCCAGCACCATCACCAGGTCAAAGAGCAGATGCTGAGGTTGCACTGGCACTTCCCAGTTATCAATGGTTTATGGTTTTGCTGAATTCAGCTTTCTAGAGAGCTTGAAGAAACCACTGAACAACTTCACACAAGACAATTCACACTGACTATTCAGTTAATGCACATACACAGGTTGATTTAGAAGCTAACACACTGACTATTCCCACACTTGAGTGCTCTTAATACCTTTTGTAAAAGACCACTTAACTGTCCTATCACTTCTAATATATCCTTGCCAGAAATCATTCCTGGTTTTAAACTGCTTTTCCCAGAAAAACTCCCACATTTGAGAGTCTTCTGAGTTATCTGTTACAGCCAAATAACCACACATAACCTAAAATAGCTTGCCTAGAGGATGTGTCCTGGTACAAGAATGAAAATGATGGTTTGGTTTCTATCTTCTTTTTCTTAAGCAAAGCTGTATTTTCCCAGAATTTCTATTTAACATCTATTCTTTTGTTAGACCTCTGCAGGACATGAGGAGTTTACTGTCTATGCTAATAAACTATAGCAAATTCAGACACTAATGACTATGAGCTGTGTTGTCACATGTATCAACAGTCAAGCCTTTTCTCTAACCATATAATTGAAATTTTAAAAATAAAACACTAGAGGCAAAATTAAGTATTAAAAATGTTCAAACAAAACCTATTATCTATTTCTTATTATTTTTTTCTTTAGAAAACAATTATGGCCAACCAGAACAGACACATGATGTAACAGGCAAATCATTTAAGGAAACACAAGGCACTAACCAGACTTATAAGATAATAATCACAGGTATGTTAAAACAATTACCTTTCTATATCTAATTATTTGGCGTCTTAGAACAAAGCAGAACTAGATCCACAAGGGAACCTAAATGCCATGCCACCTACTAGACTCCACAACCCACAAATAAACAACCAAGACCTGCCATAAAATGAAAATAACATGTTACAGGTACTGTTCAAATATCTAACATTCAACTTGAGTAGGAACTGGCCAAGTCAGATAAGAATGAACATAGAGAGCAGAGATTTAAGTCTTCAAAATTTCACACCATGCTAGGGGAAAAAAAAAACCACCCCCAAGAAAAATCCCTTTCCTTTACTCTTTCAGCACTTTGTAAGAAGGAAAGGAGACCTGAACCCGTATCATATTTTGTACTTGATCAAGCCAGTCCCTGCACTACATATTCACTCCCTTACTAAGTGACTCCTCAAGAATCAAACCAAAACACTCACTGGTCTGGCAGTTAAAGCATTCCTTTTGGGAACTGGCAGCTCCCCTAAAGAGTAGAGGGAACTGAACCTGAATCTCAATATGCTGGGTAGGTACTCAAAACCATTTCCACATCTTTAAAGAAATGCAACATTACATCCTTTTTCTGCCAAAAGAGAAGTGTGCAAGTCTTTCTTCATGGAATTGGGGCATTCCTTTTAGAAGTGTGCATTACTGATGGTATCTGTGTTTGCTTTCTAATTTAACTGCTGCAACCTTTGAGAGGTACAGCATATTTTTCTTCCCACACAGCTATGTGTTAATCTGCAATTAGACACCTCAGCATAATAAAACAAGTCTTTACCAGCAGACATATACTGATCACCTTCCATTAAAAATAAGAACAAACCCCAAAAGCTTACTTTAAAATAGTCTGAGATGTAAACTTAATTAGTTATAATTTCCTCTTTCTTCTGGTTCATACTTTAGCTTGAACTACACTTGAGACATTTTGTCTAGTTTGTCTAGTTGGATTGGGAGTGAAGGAAAGAGGATGTGTACATAAAGTGCCCCTGTTGTCAGAACTGCTGTATTGAGGAACACTCCACAGTAGATAACTACACTAGAAAACCAATTCTGCCAGCAGACCTGATTTTAAACCACCACTTAAATTGTTTCCACCAAGTTTTCTACCATAGACATATTGCAAACCTTTTCAAATGGACAAATGCCTCTCTTTGTCCATTAATAGAAGGAAAACAATAGAGCAGTATTTAATTAATATTTACAAAAAGTCTTGAGGTTTTCAAATGTGTGATCAAGGCAGCAATTAGTGTTCCAAATACCGTAATGTCGAGTATTTCTGCAACAGTGACTGAGAAAATACTTTAAAAATGTCAGTTGCTAAATATTTAAAAATTTAGAACATGTCACATGAATACAAATACAAATCCTGCTATCTAGGAAGTACCACACTGTTTGAAATTTTAGCCTTCAGCATTCTGAAAGCCTAACACTGTAAAAGGAATGCACTTCAAAGTACAAACTGGGAAAAAATGGTAGCTGCAACAGTTAAAACAGTTAGCTTCTGATGTTAAGATCCAATCTTTGAAGAGACATAATAGAATTTGCATCTAAAAATGCTGTAGGTTTCTTAAAAGCCTACAACTTCTAAGTATAACAGGAGATTCTAATCAAAGCAGCAAATGAAGTATTAGGAAAATTTAATCTTTTTATTACAACAAATGTAATTATTTTTTTATAAACAAGGATCAATAAATGGATGCACATAAACTTCAGACTACATTAAGTTTTCTGTATCCGTAACTCTTGGTATGAATCCCAACTTCTGCACTGCATTTTCTATGGTTCTTTACCTTGTACTGCTGTGGTACTGAAAGATGCCTGTCACCCCTCAAAGGTCATAAGTAATTCCTGCAGATTCCTAAGCCAGATAAATCAGTCTACTGAAGAAATATTTTGATGCACATTTCTAAGTTCAGAATTTCTGAGAAGAAATTTAATAAAAACTAAACAAAATTAGAGTCTTCACCAAGAGCTAATTATTTACAGAAAAACATCACCATCCTCTGTTATTCCACACATTGCAAGGTAATATGACACACATTGGAAGAATGTAAACTCTGAAAAAAATAATTAAAGAGTTCAGTGATCATGGACTAACATTTAAGTCTCTATTACTTTATCATTATTAACAATGATAATTAAATATAACATCCTACAACATTGCTTCAAAACACTGTAATATTTTTGATATTATGTTAAAAGTGTCTACAAGAGTAGACAATTACTTAAGCTTTTAATGTGTAAAATACTGGATTTTTTTTAAAGTACAATGTTGGAAAAGAGTTAACGTGTATCATCCAGGCAGATCTAAAGTGTTTCGCATTCAGATGTGCAGTAACAGCTCTAATATGATCATAAGGAAAAAATATGTACTGTGAAAATTTGGACAACAGATCAAAACCAAAAGCTTGTAGACTCAGATGTCTAAAGCCAATACAAAGATGCCTTTTTTTACAAATTCATGAAAAACATCTCAATCTTTAAAAAGGACAGAGATCCCTTTAAGGCATTGGCAACAGAAGCATCTAACACATAGAAGATCACCACAGTCACTTGTTAGAAGTCTGACTGCAGTCAGCTGTATATTATCATGTATCTAGAATGAAATTATTTTGCTCTGTTAAGTGAGCTATGGATATAGTCTACGCCTAAATAATTGCAATAGAGGCTTTATCTTTAAAAGAAAATATCCTCCATAGCACTTATTGATATTTACCGCTTTTAATATTCTTCATGAAGTTATTTTTTGTGGATCTGTCCCATGTGAGACATCTAACAATATTATTGTTTTAGACAGCTTTGTTTGTATATAAATATTCCGCAGTAAGGTCAAATACAAGTTAATTTAATTTTCTCCCGCGGTCTGTCTCACCGAGCTCACAGTCACCGCGTTCTTTGTTGCCTGGCTGTAGTGTCTCTCTCTCCCAGCACACAGCCTCGATGCCTCCGCCAGGAAAGCGGCAGCACCGCAGGAGCATTTCCACTACAGCTTTGGGAAAACGGAGCCGCTCCAACCGGGACGTGCGCTAACTGCTGCTGACTGTAAAACACACTGGAAGTCGCCCACGTTCAACCTGCTTTAACTTAGCTCCGCAAAGCTTCATAAACCCATACGAAGCAAAAACTTCACAGAGGAATAATTTCCAAACACAGAGCTGCCAGAGCATCAGAAGTGCACAGGAGGGGGCCCTAAAGTTTCCCCCCTCATTGTTTAAACTCGTACACAACGCTTAACAAGTCCGCAGAGAGAGCACACAGCCAAGTGAGGGAGGTTTTCTTACAACTCCTGGGCCTAAGCTCCGGGAAGCATCCCAAGAAAGGGCGGCAGGAAAGCCGCAGGATACGCTCTCGGGAGGCCCCCGCGCTCCCGCAGCGCCGCCGGCACCTGTAGCCGCCGCGGCCGGGGCCGCCCCGCCCGGCCGGGACCCGCGGCCAAGGTACAGCCCGGGCCACCGCCAGCGGGGTGCGGGGACCGGGGCCGAGCCCCGAGTGCCGCCGAGCCCGGCTGTGCCCCGCCGTCCCGCCCGGTCTCGGCCCGGCCGGACCCCCGGGCCTGCGCGGGCGCCGTGGCCGCGGGGGAGGCTCCGGCCAGACGCGACTCGCGGCGGGACCTGTTGCTCGCGCGCTGGGCACGGCGCTCCGCTCACCGTCCGTCTTTTTCCGCCGCTGACACGCTCCAGCCCCGCCGCCGGCTGGAAGTCGGAGTCCCCGGCGTCCCGCGGCGCCCCCGCGCCCAGCCCGCGGAACCGTCCGGCCACAGCCCCCGCAGCGCTGCGCAGCCGCCGCCCGGCCCGGCCCGGCCCGGCCCGGCCCGCCCCCGCGCCGCCGCCCCGCCCCCCGCGCAGGCGCGGCGCCGCCCACGGCCGCCTCGGCCGGGCGGCGAGCGGCGCTGCCTCCGAGGCCGCGGCGGCGGTCGGCGCCGCCCTCAGGTGGCGTGGACATGTGGACGCGGTGCTGCTTCTGTGTCGCCTTCCTCGCAGAATCGCGGAATCGAGTGGGTTGGAAAGACCTCTGAAATTACCGAGTCCAACCTAGGACCGAACACCACCTTGTCGACTGGACCCTGGCACTGAGTGCCACGGCCAGTCTTTGCTTAAACGCTTCAGGGACGGTGACTCCCCTGCCTCCCTGGGCAGCCCATTTCAGTCCAGTCCATTCCGGCCGTCATCTCCCATCTCTCTGCCACGGCTTCCTCTGCGGCCCGAGCGGGACCACCAGGGCAGCCCGTGTCCCGGGCAGACCTGGCTCCCCCCCGGCCACTCGCTCCTTCCCCCTCGCCCAGCTCCAGCTGCCGCCCCCCGCCCTTTCTCCTCCACCCTCTCTGGCATCCCCCCGTTCGCCCGCTGCTGCTGCCGCATCCTCAGCCCAGCTTGAATGCCCCAGCCAGGCTGGAGCCTGTGTGGGCAATAAAGTATTTAATCTCATCGAGAGTCCACTCTGCCTCTGGGAGGCTGAGGCATAGAAGGCGCCCATAACACTCTGTCTGGAAGAATGAAGAAAACAAGAGGTTACAAGTAGTTTTACCGGGTTGTTTGTATCCTTGGCTGTGTTTTTCAGGAACAGGGGAACGTCTTTTTAGCGCACAACAGTTAAGTTTGACTTTGAGCTGCAAACTGCACTCACTTCCCTGGTTTTTCAGGCTAGCCTGCCTAGATCGTTGCTCAAGGCATTAGAAGAAATGTTCTGTGTAACCAGACAAGTAAAAAAAGGCTCACTTAGATAACTAAGAAGTCCTAAAGAGATACCTGCTTTCGTCCATCTCTCCTTGCTTCAGTTTATCTGTATAAAAATCTGTGCAATTTAACTCGATCATTCTTCACAGTGAAATCCACACTTTCTATAATGGTACCCTATATATCATGTTTTCAAATAATGTTCTTATGGTTTTTCTTTTTCTGTGAAAAGGCTTAATACAATAATGTATGTCCTGACCAGTTACCTGCAGAGTAAAGTCTGAAAGCCTTTCTACCTTTTCACATTGTGGCTCAAACTCCCCAGGGCAGTATGCCTTATAAGTGCATTTAACATCTGTTTTTGTTCTGACCAATACTGAGGGGCTTTGCATCAAGTGAACACAACTGGAACACTGCAGGAGATACAGATGTTAGTGGACTGCGGAATTATTTACTTGGGAAATAAAAAAGAGAGGGAAACCATGACACTGGTAATTTGTGGCTGGGCAGCACCAAGCGTGGTTCTTCGCACCTTCATATGAACATGGTTCATAAAAGTTCACATGAACCCTTTCTTAGAAAGCACTTTGACAAAGGACCTTATAACTAAAGGATGTTTTCAAAATGTGATACTTACCTAGAAGATATGACTGCAAAAAGTAGGTAGGTTCATCAGTTATCTGTTCACTGTTGAACTCTTTTCTATGTCCAAGGTTGGAATGGTCAGACAAAAAAAGACACAAATTCTGCTTACAATTTCCTTCAGCTGATAGCATTTTTACTTCCTTTCCACAGAAAATCTCATTGCCTCCAATTTGCATGTTGTCCAGCAGCTATTTTTAAAGCCAGCATAAAGGAATTTTCTTCAATATGGTGTGTAATTTGTCATAAAATAAAGAAGGATTCTCATCAGTTCTAGAACTTCCTCCTTTACTGTCTTTACTGTCTTGTAGCTGAAGTTTATTTTTTTTTTTTTGCCAGAAGGGGTTACCAGACCAGATTAAGACTGAGTTTGGAATATCTCTTGGATATATCTGCTTAAAGATCTGTTTGTTTCTTTGGTAACCAATCTCCTCCCTCTGGCTTTCACAAGGCATCACAGAAACCCTAATATTAGCCTGTGCCCAGCTGGCAAATCCATTCAAATGGTACTTGAATGAGATGTGCTTGGCTAATTCTATCCAACAGATTAAAGTACTCTGTCAGGCCAAGAAGTTGTCATACCTGAAAACGATTCACAATAGAGAACAGGATCAGCAGCATTATTCGTAAGGACCCAGATAACCTTTCTGTTTTGAATCACTTCAATAGACAGCTCTTATGGTTCATTTTGTCTTGTGGGTGCTGTTTGGTGATATGCTGAGAACACAGTAATTACTCTGAGAAAATAAACATTTTAGCTTAAATTTAACAAAATCTTCAAATTGAAAAGATACAGAGAAGGAAGGTGAATGGGAGGATGAGGAATGACAATGGAATTATGATTGGGAAGATCAAAGCTTTTAATCTTCCTTTGTTTTGTTTTAGCTGATTAATCTTTCATATGAGGATCTATAAAGACAGCTTTTAAAGGAAATGAGAAAACTACCTACCAAAGTAGTATAAAGCTTTCTGTTTCATCTCTTGTTCAAAGTGTTCAGTTATTATCTTTAAGTAGAAAGGAACTAAAAATAAATACCCAAGTGATACCTTTTGTGAGCTTGGATCTTTGAACATTTTAATTTTAGACAACAATTTTTCTATGTTTTTGCTATTTGGCATTATGGAAACATTAAAGCCTGCTTGCAGCTGCAGAACCAGTGTATTTAGGCAACATTATTTATTATAGAACTTTATTTTTAAGATTGGTGTATTAATTCCACAGACAAATATTTTTTAACAAAGAAAATGTTCATTTTTGACGAATTGAATTTGACATGAATTAGTGTCACTGTTTACCAGCAGGGTGCAGATATAATTGTGATCAATCTAAATCTGGCTGATTGCAATCAATAGAAAAGAGAAAAAAAAAATTCTGACTCAAGTTGAGGAATCAGCCTAACATAGAACAAAATGTTTTCTTTGAAACCATTGCCCTCTGGAGGGGAAATGAAAAATCACCAAGGGATCAGAGAACTCCTTTTTATTTCACTATTTAACTATATTTGTGCTTTGCAATCTCTGAATGGTTCTACAGAGGGTTGCAATAAAGCAGTGCTGTCAGAAGGGCCTCACTGGCCACAGTGCTTATGTCAGTGGGTTGAAGAAGTAATCCCCATCTGTCTGCCCCATAACTCTCCTCCCCTTTATCTCTAAACTCTTTATCTCTAAACTCATGGAGCATCAGTTCTACAGCAGATGTACTTTCTCTTCTAACTCCACCTTGGATCCTTTCCAAGCTGGTGTCATCCCTCTTTATTTGCCAAAATACATTTTTATGCAATCCCTGAGGCATTCTTGTCTGCCTATGCCACACTCTGTATTCCATTCTCTTTCTTGACCTTTCTGCTGTTTGATTGGTTGGTTAGTTCTTTTATTATCTTGATTACCCTTTTCTTCTTGATCTTTAATTCTTGCACAGCTCTGAGAAATTATGTACTGTTCTTTCTATCTCTCTACTTTCTTGTCTGACATCTATTGAAATAGACTTTTTTCCTCCTGTCTCTGAGAACCTCACAGGGATTTTTCTCTTGGCCTTCAGATATTGATTATATCTTGGATTATCACATTTAAATGTCACCTGTAATTGAATATGAATGAAAGTGAACTCCTGCCTGCTCAGACTTTGTCTATATATTCTCCCTATATTGGTGGGGAAATGACAGCATTGCTCAGTGAACTTTCCAGTCTGATTTACAACAATCTGATACCTCCTGACTACAAATTTGATTATTGTTTTAACTCTTAAGTAGACACATACCCCAGCCATCTGAAAGAATGTAACAGCAGCACTAGTCCACATGTAGGACTGGTTTCATTCAGTATCTAATGTTTTGAAGAAGAATGCAAAACACCAAAGTCCCTAAGGCAAATTCTGCATTAAGCAAGGAAAAAAAAGTAGACTTCTCAGTGTCCATAACCCAGCAACAGACACCCTAAATTTTGAAATCAATTACAGGAATCCAATTTAATTTCAACATTTTTCATTGTTTAGGACAACAAATACTAAGGATTCAAATGTAGTTACATTTTTCTTCTTGATAGCATCTAGAATTTTTGCTTACTTCCTATTGAATAACCTCATTCTGCATTCAATTTCATCTGGGTAGCCAGAACATCTTCCTCTCTGGTTTCTAGTGCCCTCTGCCACTCCTTATAATCCTTCAGATAAAAATTGTACAATTCCAAGTAAGGTCATAATATTTATGAGTAGGGTCATAAACACAAGAGAAGTTCAGCTGCAGGGAAAGGTTAATCTCCAGAAGAGATGTCTTAAATCTGGCAGTACTGTCCATCCCTCAATGTGAGGTTTTAAGCTCAGAAATAGGAATGGTTCCCAGAACATGGGTGCCCCAAATAAAAACTAGAAGTGAGGTTGTTAGTGTAACACTTTGGGGCACTATTTTTAATCCAGAAAAGAAAGAACAGGCAATAAAAATTATCCTTCTTCCACTGTTTTCCCCTATTAAGTTTTACTCAAATTAGTGATTGTCTTTTCTCTTTGTGTCTGTTTGCTGATTCTTGTTTTTCCTCTGTTTGTGAAGAAATAACAATTTATGAGATAGCTCAGGGATCTGTGAGAAAATAGGGGAAGAACCAACAAAAAGAACTAACAAAAGTTTCAGCAGTTGATACTGCCTAAGGAAAATACTTAGGTGGTCAATCCTATTGAAAGAAGACATTTATGGTTTTTAGATTCTTCCCAGATACAATCCTCTTTCCTGAAAGGCAGCATAGTAGTGGTAATTATGTTAAAGACAAGAGCTTCCTATCTGATCTGCTGCAGTGTAAAGCATGATCAGATAACACCCAAAAGCGTGACACTATACTTCACATATTCTATAAACCTGTAATGCAATATTTTTTTCTCTTGAATGCAAACTAGATGTACAGTAAGACAGATGTAAGATACTGTAAAACATACACAAACAACATCATAATTCTCCTTGTTCCCTTTTTCTAGCTGTTTCACTGAAATAATCTTCCATGCTATGCTTTATGATTCTTTTTTGGTATAGACTTTCAGTTTGTGCATCCCAGCATGATAACTCTCCCCTCCCTTAATTACTGACACAAGAAGATTTGTGGCTAACCTGTGCTGTACCTTTAACATGCCTATCTGAATACAGCATGAGGCAGAATTACTTTCAAAATTTTTCTTTTTAAACCCTTTGGTTGAATATTCCTTTGTATTTTCAGCTTTCTTTCAGCATATTATAAACAACATCTGGGACAATTAACTGCTAGCCAGCATGTTTGTTGTTCCCCAGCATTTAAAGTGTTGCTCAAAATCTGCTTTATGTGGATCCCTAATTCTGTAAGTTTTATTGCAAATATTCTGAAACTGGGACCAGTTTTTTTTTTTTTTTTTCTCTTTGAGACTCATGCTCAGAAAAATCCTTCTTATGTCATTTCATTACATGCTATAAAGCTGAAATTCATGGCACAGAGGAAATTCAGGTATGGCATGCAGTCCCTTTGCAGAAGTCAATGCTAATCCCAATGTAATGTCTTCCTTATAAAATGCCAGTAGATTTCATTTACCACTTCAAGTAATGGAGGCATAGCTGCTTGATTTGTGATAGTGAATTATGGAGAATAGCACCATGATATTCTTGTCATATGTTACAGCAGATGTGTCATATGCCGTAAGCAAAACTGGTCTACCTAATACCTTTAAGAAAGCAGTAGCAGCTACACAATTGTCTTTAAGGATGGAAAAAGTTGTTTTGTTACTAGCAGAATAATCCTTTCCACATAGCTATGTGGAACTATATGGATGGTCTTCATTAATCTTGGATAAACCTATAAACTACAGTGCCAATTTCACACTGTTCTCGTGAATTTGCATCTTGCCAGAAACTTGCAAAAATTTCTTTGGAATATACTGCATGAATACTGCTCAATTTTGCAATATTTCCTAAAAAGTATAGTCAAAGCCATTATGCTTGGTAGCTTTCTTGCTTGCAGGATCTTCAATGACTGTCATTCTCCCAGCAGTAATTTTTCTTTCATGGGAGCTGATAGACTGTATTGGCTCAGTGAGCCAGCACTGCATACCAGTCTACTGAATCAGCTCAGTATAGGACTGTTTTGGTATGTAACCCTGCAAGCATCCGTGCTGAGTTCTTTTTCTTTGCCCCAGGCACAGCAATTAAGAGGTATTTTTTACTACATTTGCAATGCAGGCAATTCGTCCTTCTTCCCACCGTTGTAGTCCGGGAAACACAATACTCTGACGTTGTTTATTCTTTTCAGCATTGCCTGAGAGCATTTTAGGTGGTATTCCAGTAAGCTGAGGCTGAATAGAGGCTCCATTTGCATGGGACAGCAGTCCTTTGCCACACCTTGCCTCTTCAAGGTCTGTCAGTGACACTTTTAGTCAGCACAGTGATCACGGTTTCTGCAGTTTAAGGACCGTATCTACCTGTTCAGTCAGTCAGGAGAAACACAATGCTAAAGAGTAGTTATTCTGGTTTTGTTTTGCTAAATTAATGACTTCAGAACAAATGTCATGGGCTTTGTGGTCACTTTTGTCACATCTACCACTGCAGAAAGTAAGTCTTTGTGGAAGTATTTTGTTAATTCTTCAGTCCTGTCTCATCAGCTTATCTTGGGTTATGACATACTTGTAACTGGGGCAAATACATTTACTTGACAACAATTCAGCTCTCAGAATTCAAAAGAGTATATCTCATTAATATAATTTCATGAGAACAATAACTCTTGGTGTCTGATCCCTATATTTTGATGGATTTAATTTTTTTCCTTAGGATAAGGTTATTTCTGATTGCCTGTTGTTTGCATCCAGACAGGTTGTTTGAATGCAAATAAATGTATTGTTGTAGGTGGTGTGCAATGCTTCTCCAGACATGGTGTTTAGTTTATGAGGGAGGTGTTCCTAATTAAATCTCAAATTTATTGCACTCTATTAGTTAGTATATGCAGCATATCTTGGCATGAAATCATGCATAGCTATTACTTTTGTGTTAGCAAAATTATAGTTTCTGATTAATATAAACAGCTTTACTCTAAATAGGAATATTCTATATAGGAATATTCAAAATTCATATAATGAATTTACCAACACTGTACAATTTTCATCTTCTTAGCTTCTAATATGTAAGTTTATGTGCTGATTCAGTCACATGCAAAATGATGATGAGTTTAGATGTAAATTAAGGGGCATCAATAAGTTGAGTGGCTTCTGCTTCTGTCATTCCTTGACAAGTATAGATAACAAGAAATGGAGAAATATAAATGAAAGGAACTGTGGACATTAATGTGGACTTTCTTTAGGTGCCTACTTGTTCCAGATAAAAAGATAGTCTGTAGAGATTTGTTCAGAAATGCAGGATGTCAGAAAGGGTGCTAATGCTAATCCTAACAGGACTTTGTGGAGAGTGCTTCAAAACAGGTTCATATTCTGCTTGAAACATGTGCCTGGCAGACCTCATGCTTGAGGACACTGCAGACATGCTATCTGGTAATAAATTCAAGCTCAGACAAGGGGTTTTGGAAAGCCTTACATCACACTGGAAGAGGAGGTATGGACCAACATTATCTCTTTGAACTGGTGTAGGTCTGCAGTTTCCTCAACCTTTCCACCATCCTGTATTTTATCTGTTTTGCAGTGGAGTTGCAATGGCTGCCATCCACCGAACAAGTCAAACAGCAAGGCCTTTCTAGAACAAACCTGTCACTGAACCCTGGAACGTGAGATGTAATCACAGCAAGGAATGAGCACAGGGTATCTTCTAATAATTTAGCCAACCAAGTGCTGATCTATTGGCAATAAGTACATAGGAACATTTGTTCTAAAGAACTCACAACCCATGAAGTTTCAGCTTCTCTTACCTATTATTAAATTGGAATAGCAATAGGGAAGGGAGTAAATAGCAGAAAAACTGTCATACCTGAAGTCTAATTTATTTTCCCACTTTTTTGCTTCATTGTATTTGACCTAATAAAAGCTGGAAAAAGTTTGTTGCCATTGCCAACAAACTCAGGAATAAGCCTTACCCTAGTAATGTCATTATCTACCAGGATCAGTATGAAATAGGTGCTATTTTAATCTCTTTTCTGTCTGCAGTAGAAACATGTATTGGTAAATTACATAGTAAGCCTTGTTTTCAGGTGCAGGCACATTTAAGATATTTGAATGTTGTGGACTGCACTTATATATGGCACATCTGAACATAGCACACATCTGAGCACATCACTTGATGTGTAGATGTAGCTTAAGAAGTGATTGTGGTGAAGCCTTGTTCTTTGCTATTGTGAAGATGCTTATGTAAAAGACAGTTTTCATTTCCTTCTGCCATCTAACTTTTGCTTGCTTAGTTTGTACAACACCACCAACAAAATATCTGCTCCTTTTCTGCACAAGCCAGGGTGCATATGGCAGTGCAGAAGTTACAGAAAAGACAGATTTCTGGTGCCAGAACTTACTGCTGATTTTGGCCAGAAAGAAAACATTGAGTGAGCCTCACACTATATGATTGCTTCAAATACTGGGAGTCTAAATCAAAACTATCTGTATGCAGATCCTTCAGCATTCAAGACCACTGGCACTTTAGTCACCGAATATTCATACCCTTTTCCTTGATTGCCCATCTTTGTGAACCCGAAGACTTATTGCTGAAATGGTCTTTCAAAAGCCCTGAACACCTATCTGAGAAACCAAAGTCTGGAAACTACAACCTGTATTCTACAGTAAACCTGAAAATGTTTTGCAATAACATACTTTCTGAAGACAAAAATATGACACATTTTACTTTTCAAAGTCAGCAGCAGAAACTAAATACATTAGATTCATTTTCCAAACATACATACCTAGATTTCATGTTTACTGTGCTTTTGCTCTTCTGTTTTTGCTCCTATTTGGAAACTGAGATAAGAGCTTTGCTCTCCGCCCATCCAGATTTTGACACCAGTCCCTACTAAAATCTTTCTGTCTTCTTTCAAGTAGCTGAGGTAGGGATACCTGTAAGTCTCCCAAGACAGAAGGATTTCTGTCTAAACAGGAAGAAAACAGTGAGGATGTAATAATACAAAAGGAAATCCAGTCATAAACCCCAGCTATAAGGAGGACCACACAATAACAACATGTGCCCCAAAAAGGACAAGAGCTGATCCATACTTTCATGACTTAGCAAAATGGAGAAGTGTGTGAGGGAAGATCATTAAAGTAGAGAAGACAATAGCAAGTAACAGCCAACACTTCAAGCTATTGAAACTTTGTTGGAAATATGACTGGAAAAAATAAGACATCTTAGTTCTGGATCTTTATTATATTGAACCACTAGTGATTGATCACTAGTGTACAGTTCCTGCTGTACATGCAGGAGCTGACATTCATGTCAGGTCAGCTTATGTCCAGAAGTTGGTAAAGGATCTAGTCTTTGACAACAAAATAATGGTGGCTCTGTAAGTATAGTTAAAGCAGGAAAATATCAGCTAAGAAATTTTATAACTCCTTTACTTACTTTTTTACATTCTCTGCATTCTTGTCTCTACAATGCCCTTATTCTACTGTCTTATTTCCTGAGAGTCCTATATCCCAATCTTGCTACCAGCTTTCAGCTTTTGATATATTTAGAAGGTTTATGAAATATTAGTAGTAATTTTCTATCTATATGAATGTGGGTAGCATTGGCCTGAAATTATTACAGGAGTAATAATTGTGTTTTAAATTTGTTTCTCCTAACTTTATGGTGTTAGTGTTGAGACAAAGAGCTAGTGTAAATATGGGCTCTGGAGAGGCCCAGAGAAGCTGGTTTTTGTCTCAGGGTCACAAGGTCTGTTAATAAAATCACCCTTAAAAGAAGAAAAACAGTACATGGAAATGGGAAATAAATTAATATTTCTTATTTAATCTTCATAGAAATATATAACACTCCTTGGTGCTAACTCACCTGGGAAGTTCCACATATTTCATGTGGGATGGCCACTGTGAGAGTTTCCAGAAGTTTGTCATACTTTCCTGTGGGAACATTGATGTGCTGTCAGCATCACATTAGGCATTGGTGAACAGGGATTGACAGCACAGAGATCAGTGATCACACGGTTGGGTCAGTTGTGGACAAATGGGTTCTGTTTTTGATTAATCTGAACAAAAAAATAAAAGCTCCATCAATGCTGACATTTGCCATATGGTCTATCAGAGACTACACTACCAATGGATTTCATAGTGTTTTGGCTTGGTGGCCTAGATCTTAGCTGCTGGATTGGTGAGGAGAGAGGAGAATGTGGAATAATGAAACAGAAGTATGCATAAATGAAAAGAAGGGAAAGAAGTTGAATAAGGATAAAGATGATTGGAAATCACTCATCTTGTGTAATTCAAAACATTGCTGTGATTGCTGTGGTCAGAAACCTCTTGAGTATTATAATAAATAATTTCTCCAGGTATAAACATGATGGAAGAGACTCTGATCTGAGTCTCTGAAAGAGACACTGAAAGACAGTGAATCATCAGACTCTGTTATGATGATTCACTGTCTTTCTAGCATTACTATGATGTTAATGGTTTTGAAACACGATCCTGCTAAGTGCTGTACTAAAACAGACTGGAAAAATATCCCAGGTAATTAAGGTGTAAGACATGAAATTACAGAAAGGGAAAAAATGAGAAAATACAAGAAGATAAGAGTAAGTCAGTAAGTATAATCATATAATTAAGTTGATAATGAAATCGCATGTTATGTACCATTGTTAGAGCTTGGTTTTGACAGGCATCAGAGAAAAAGTGTCCTAAGAAGGAATTTGAAGGAGGATAGTGCATTAAATTTCTGTATGTCTAGTAGAATTGCCTTCCAAATGTGAGACACAGGATGTAAAAAAGATCAAAGGCTACTTTAAATTTTATTTTAGTGTATGAATCAGTAATGGAGGTATTTAGCTATTTTCTTGGCTTCATTGGCTAGAGCAGCTGCCTTCTTTGTAGTAAATGTGGTCTGATAAATAAAGCAGGAATAAATCATAAAGTACCCTGAAAAAGGAGACTCACAGCTCATTAAGATTCTGCAGGTGTATCAACGGTGCAAGATTTAATTAATAAAGGTAAGACCAAAGGATGTCATCATTATCGCAAAGGGAGGGAGTGAAATCCTCTGAAAAACACTGCTGAGGTACAGCATGTAAAGGGAATTCACATATTTTAGACACACTGTGAATGCAGAATTGTAGGAGTGTAGGCTGTTGCCAGAGTTCTGCAGGGCTTTGGCCAGTACTGGATTACAGGCAGGGAGGGCAGTTATACTGCCTGCAAGGGCAGGAGAATCTGCAAGTGGTGAGAGATTGCCCGGGAAGGGCTGGCTTGGATTTTGACTAGGTTGAACTGCCATTGGTGGCTAACAACCTTAATGAGGTAGCACAGAACCATATTTTTTTTCAGCTACAACAGTTCTATCTGCTGCTACAGGAAGGAGTAGGGCCTCACAAAGGAAAATGAAAACATAAATCTTTGTCCTTCTCTAATCTGCAGCATTGCTATTGCCAGGTTTCTGAACTATTGCCTTTAAAATGTCAGCAGAGTGAGTCTATAAGAGAAGGGAAATACATCCGTATATGTGTAGTAAACACAGAAAAGAAATAGTGAGAATAACTGAATGAGGAGTACCTGTTGAGCTGAGGAAGAAAAAGAAAAATTGTAATATTTGCAAGTAATTTTATCTTTAGCATGCTAAATGCTTTAATTTCAAGGACTTTTTACCTGGACAAACTTGCTCTTGAAGATGGGAGTAGAAGTAAAAAGAATGTACTCTCCTTTGCTAAGAAGTCTCTGAATGTCATATATGATGGGCATCTGACTGCACTGCATCTGTGTCCTCTGCTGTGTCTGCTAGTGATGGACCTGGGAGAAGCCTGGGCCAGGTGTTATTTGGGTTTTCCCACCCACCATCCTCTTTGTGATCGTTAGTGTGTCTGCTTTTTATCCCAGTCCCTAACAAAGGACTGTCAACTTGGCTTTTTTTGTTGTTGTTTTGGTTGGGGAGTTTTGTTTGGTTGGTTGTTGTTGCAGTTTGTCTTTGGTTTTGTGTGTGGGTTTTTTTATTTGTTTTGTTTTGGTTTGTTTTTGGTCTTTGGTTTTTATTTTAATCTAACCCTAGTCACCATCTCTTATTAAAAATCCAGTTAGTGGAGAAAGCTGCAGCATGATTCCTTTGCAATGAAGACTGCCAAGAGCACATTAAATCCTATCTTCTGCTCTGTTCTCTGGCTTTTTGTAACACATTGAGCAAATTGATCGGATTTGGCCATTAGGGAGTAAATTACAGAAAGTCAGTCATGGATGTACGGTGTCAGCTATCTTTTAGATGGGCTCAAGTACCATTGCATCTGCATGTGTGCCTTTCCCTCCTAAGACTGGCAGGTAAATATCTCTCAGGCCATTTTTATTTTCATTATTCAGTATCATTAGTGATGAATAGCTACCTAGCTCTGACACAAAAGTCCTGGCAAGCAGCACAGTACACCACAACCAACCTGCTGTCACCAGCACTGGCTCCAGTTCACTCTCCTACACAACTCCCCAAGCTTGTTCTCTTGAGTGCAGCCATGCCCTGAAGCCACAAAGCTCTGCAAAGCCACATCCCTGGAGACTGATCACCAGCCTTGACCATGAACAAACCTGTTCTGGTAGCTTCATCCAAATACAAGAAAGCTATAGGAAAATATTAAGTCAATTTTTTTTTTCTCTGCAGCATCTCCATGAATACATGAGGATGGTATTGGTTGTCTGGCAGTTCTCCAAAGCAATGCAACAGCAAGCTGAAATGAGCATAGCTGAAGAGGCAGTCAGCAACAGCAAGAAATCTATCTGGCAAGAAACCACAAGAAAAGATCAGGCACAATAAGGTAAAGTATCAATATTACAGCATAGCTGTCAAACCACCAAAGCAGGTCTTTCCACAAAACATAGAAGAGATCCTCAGTGGAGGTTATCACTGCAGTCTCCATTATCAAATTGAACTGAAGGCAACTAAATTCCAGGAAGATACTCATTTACCAGGAGCAAGAACTGCAGATGGATTGCTCAAAATTGAGTGAAAGTGAGTTAAAACCACTAAGGAAATTTAACACAGATAAAAGTAAAGTTATTCATATGAGGAAATTATTTTCTTAAACTGTAATTATCATTATTGTTTCCAGGTTGTATACTACCAATAAAGCATAAGAATTTAAGGTAATCTCTTTTAAGAAAATAAGAATATTACCAATAAAGCATGAGATTTCTAAAATCTATTAAAACATATCAGTCAGAAGTACTGAAGAAAAAATATATTAGGAAATAGAGAACAAACAGAAGTCATCATGATGTGGTTAGTACAAGACAGGGGTGCATTTTAATATGTATGCAGTTCTGATCTCCTTGTTTCTGACAGAATATAATAAACCTGAAAAGGGTGAAAGAGGAGCAACAGGGATGGGTGATGTGGTTTAAGGATGGCAGTGACAGTGCTGCATTGGTGGTTGGACTTGATGATTTTGAAGGTCCTTTCCAATGTTGATGGTTCCATGAATCTGTGATAGAGATCCTCCAATTTACAGACCCTTGCATATGGTCTGTGACCACAAAGGGCAGACTACATAGATTAGGACATTCAATTCAGAAGATACCCATCTATAAAATTATGGGTGGCAAAGTGAGGGTGACTTCTCTTTATCTACTCCAACAAAAAAATTAAGAGGCATCAAACAGAAGTAGGAGATGGCAGATTCAGAATAAAACAGAGGAGATGCTGCTTCACACTGTGAAAATGTGGGAGTTTTTGCCACAAACATTGGGTGGAGGTAAAATTTGGAAGCTGGAAAATTATCTCCTTGCCATGCATTTATACTTTTCTGGAGGCATGAACTATTGGCCAGTATTTTGCAGAGGGTCAATTTGAAAAAAAATTCTAAAAGTGCACAGGCCACACAATGTAAGGATTTTTGTTTCCTTCTCAGCAGTTTCTTACACAGAAGCTTCTCCTGCTAGTGAACATTGCCAGTGTAGGGAGCTGTGTTTGAAAATGTCCATGTCGGCTTCTTGGTCCAAGGTCTAGGCTGTACATGGTCATAAAATTGGGTCCCCCTTAGTGGTCCAACCAGCACAACATTTCAAAATTACTCAGTCACTGGTTATTTTTGCCATAACAGATGGACCTAGATAGGAAAGACTCTTGTCAGACACATTAATGTGTTATATTGTATTGGGCCATAGTAATGTCTGCATGAGGAGAATGCCAGGTACTGACAAAAACCACTTTGCATGCTTCCTTGTCAGTCCAGTGGGGCAGTTTTTTGTGTGCTAATATATATATGTGTATATATATTTATATATATATACTTACCTTTCATTTTATCTTCCTCTTTTCTTGAAATAACTTTATTTTTTAATCCCTGGTTAAAAAGGTCAGGGTAATACCTTTGTATTCTATGCTATGCTCAGATAATCTGCAGAGTTGGTAGAGTACAATAAGGTTTCAGTTTTGCTTGTGAATTAACTCTGCAAAATTACTTTGTTGCTTGCATTTTTAAACACAAATTGGGTCAATGGAAATGCAGAAGTCCTTGCATTGGGACAGAGCATGCTTGGTTTTTGCTGTATGGTGCTGGGATAGAGCAAGTCTTCTGAGCCAGATCAGTCTAAAACTAGAGAGCTACTGAGCCTCTGTGCATCACCTTTTGAAGGCTTTATATTCAAAGAACTTTATCAGCTTGTGTGCAATATGGCACAAATGCAAAGAGCAAGTCTTAATTTAATGCTGAATATGAGTCACTGAGCCCTTCCAGAAAACATGCAGCTAGCAGCAGCTCATGAGGTTGTAATATTTGCAAAATGTGCAGGCTTTTCCTCCCCACAAATTACCTGAGATTTGCCTGCATTTCAATGCTGACTTTAAATCCAGCATGACAACTCATCTCTGAATAGAGGCTAGAATAGATTTACTAGAAAACATCAGTAAAGTTTGAAAGAAAATAACCAACCAAACCAAAACAATCCTTAAGAAAACACAGAAGAAACACCAGTGTGGTGTGGCTTTTTTCACTTGGAGTAAATATGGAAATCCAGCTGCTGATAGTATCATGTTGAAAATGCTATGTTTTGTCTCTTGAGACGAGCTGGCACTAGGAAGGTGAAGGGTTACAGTTCCTAGAGATCATGTTCTTCATTATGAGGATAAGGCACTTAATTGCACCTTATGGACCAAATACAGGAATGGGAAGCTATACCTTGTTCTACAGATTGCTGCTTTAATGACCAGCAGCTGCTACAGCTGTTCTACCCATGCAAACTTTTTGTCATCAATAGTTGTGACTTTGATTGTCCACCTCTCCTAAAGGAGTCTGCTTTTTTTGAGTACATGCAGAAATGATCTTCCATGTCTAACCTGTAGGCCTTAAGTTTCACCTTTTACATGGGAGTAACACCAGTGGGCTTTAGAATCAAGATGGAGACTACTGTAGATATAAAGCATTCAAGAAAAGAGTTTTTTATCTGGAATTTTAGGAGTGTATAAAATACCCTCACAAAAGAAATATTAGGTTGGGAATATATTCCTGAATTTATTTGGGATTAAAGTCTATTAGAAATGTATGGAAAGTGCCAGCAAAAATGGCAGATAATTTTCATTATTTTTTCCCCCGATATTAAAAAATAGCTTCAATTTTCCAGCTAAGGCAAAATAAAATTTTTGGCAAATTTTATGCTTGAGCATTTCAACATCTACTCTTACTTGTTGTTCTTAGTTTCCTGTCAGGTAAGAGTATAAGAATCATTACCTGTCAGCCCCAACTTTTGCTTGATAACGTAGCCTGATTTGGGCTCTGACTCCTAATTTGTATTTCCTCTGAGGAAATAGAGGTGGGAGAGTGGTAAATGTCAAAGTTCTATAACCAAATGTATCAAATTCATGTACTCAAGGAGTAGACTCTACCTTTTAAAACAACTATTGAACTTGATTGCTAGTGAGTCTTATGTTATTGGTGTCCTTTATAAACTTCTGATTTTCATTACACATTCTACCTATAATAACCCTTAACTACATTGCAATGATCATTATAATAGATATGCTTATAATACCCAATGTTCTGCATTCTCAGAGATGAGTTAACCCCCCTCTCTCTTCCTTCTGTGGTTTAAAATATTAGTACAGTAAAAAGAGGCATCCACAAATTTAATTTGGTACCACCCTGCTGCTACATGGAGAGATCACAAATGTGGACACATAGTCCAGAACAAAAAAATCTATGATCAGCAAGTTGTGTTAATTGTTTCTATGAACAATCCATCTCTTGATTGCCTCTAAATACAGTATATGCCTACCTACCTCCAACATTTGCAACGGCCCACGCAGGGAATTTCACAGCAGACAGAGTTTGGTTTTAAAACTAGCCTCGAGGGATGCCCTCTGCAGTTATCATAGAACAACAGCTCTGGTCCACTGTGGCAGTCAGGATTTAAATTTTCTGTGTTCTCCCTAAGTCTTCAAAAAATACTATAGATAAATGCTCTGGCTTCACAAATGGAGTTGATGGGATAGCATTTTACCCATGAAGTCAAAGAAACAAGTTGTTGGGCACTGCTATGATCTTAATCCCAGATGAAATGTGAAGCTACCAAAGTACACAATCTTTTGGGAGCTGAAAAGTCCTTATCTCATGGAAAAAAAACAAAACAAAACAAACAAACAAAAAACAGAAAAAGAACATGTTATCAAATTCCAGACAGTGCAGCACAACAGCTGTTTGCAAATGCTATGCAATTTATATGGCGAAAAGAAGTATTCTCCAGCTTTGATTAGTCTGATTGTAATTTCACCCCACCTCCAAGTGCTACTTCTGTGTTGTCCCTTGGGAGGTGTGAGAGAGAGCTCACTCTGTAGTTTCAGTTCACGCATGACACTGTGCATGAGGGAAAGCCCTAGATTGGACATACTATTTCTCTTCCTCCCTATGCTCTTCCCCCACCCCAAATTCCCTCTTAAATCACTGCTATTTTGTTTCAAACAACAAGGCTGAACAGGTGAAATTTTAAATAATGATTGAGGATTTTTTTTATTCATTTAAGTTTCAGTATCATTACAGAAAATGTTATGGTACAGAGTTGTTTAACATTAGTTTTATTTCTTTGCTCATTTAATTTCCACATGAATGCTGGTAACACTAATATCTGTACAAGATCAGTCTTTGATTTTTTTTAGTTTTTAGTTCTGTACATTTTTAAATGTATTGGTTAAAAAGGCTGTCAGCACTTAAGGAAGCAATTTTTTTGTTTGTTGAAATAAAAGGTATCCAGTTACTGCCCAAGAGTACTGAGCTGGGTGGCTGCTGGGACAAGAGACATCCCTGAATGAGCGGCGAGGTGAGAAAACCTCGGGGCTTCATTGGGTTCCCAGTGCAGCCACTCTGCTTTTGGCACTGTGCACATCAACACGAGATACAAGATAAAGAACAAGCAGAAGCTCTCTGTGAAGCGGTTATGAAGCATACTAATAAGGGAAATCCAAGTGTTGTCTACGCTAGTATAAATAAGCAGACAGCCTTGTTTTAAGAGCGTAAGTAGTTGTATCTTAAAGATGAGAAAAAACACAAGTTCTGCAGGCACCTACTGCTGTCTACTAAAAGCTACCGCTATTAGAACTAGCATTGAACACACAAAGCAATTGCAAGAAAAGGAAAAAGTTGCTTTGATATAATCAGAATAAATTTCTTTGTTAAATTTGTTTTAAAGTTTTTTTTTTTAAAAGGTATTTATTTAAATTCCATTTGAAATATATTTCAAGATGTTGACTATACTGATCAACTTTTATCCAAATCGGAAAAACTAGCTGTGCCGTTGCATATTACAGGATACAGTCAATGATATGTGGACATGCATCAAAGCTTCGCTCTTGCTGGTGACATCATAGCCTTCCAATGACCATGACATCCACCACCTCCCCCTTGTGAAGCTCCACATACTGCTCTGTCTTTGGAGGTAGCATCAACAGTCCATTGGCACTGCGCATACTCATCAGACGACTGCTCATCTGATTCCCTACAGGAGAGAGGCAGAACAATTTCAGTGGAGTCTTCAGTTTGTTCCAAATGCCGCAACATGGTGCAACAAACAAAAGCTGTTATGACGAAAATGTTTATGTGGCTAACTTATTCATGGAGCTGGGATCTTGCTGTTCCAAGGTGGATGGAAACAGAGAACTCTGTGGAGATTTAGTCAGCCTCTCACTGCACTGGCTCTCAAAACCATCACTCTCATTGCTGATGGCTTTCCTATCCAGCCTTCCACATTATCTGTACCATGTATCTTGACCTAGTAAATTGCTAATACTATCAAAATTACTTTATTTTTCAATTTGTACACCTATTCCAGTTATACAAAAGCAAAAATCAGCACAGTCTAGAATGTTTTTACTATCCTCTTATAGAATAAATTTGATTAACTCTTTTCTCTCTGAATAGAATAATTTAGGTTGGAAAAAACCTCCAAGATCATTAAGTCCAACCTCTTTGACAGAACAGCCCCATTTCAACTAAACTATAGCACTAAGTGCTATGTCCAGTTTTTTCTTGAACTCTTTGAGGGATGGTGACTCCACCACTTCCCTTGGCAGCCTGTTCCAATGTTCAACAGCCCTTTCAAGAGAAAATTCTTCCAGACGTCCAATCTGAGCCTCCATTAGTGCAGCTTGAGGCCATTTCCTCTTGTCCTGTCACTTGTTTCTACCCCACTTGGCTACAGCTTTCTTTCAGGTGGTTACAGAGAGTGATGAGAGCTCCTGTGATTCTCCTTTCTCCAGGCTAAACACCCCACCTCCCTCAGCCACTCCTCATAGAACTTGCTCTCCAAACCCTTCACCAGGTTCACTGCCCCTCTCTGGAAATCCCCCAGCACCTCAATGACTTTCTTGTAATGAGGTGCCCAGAACAGAACTAATATTTTCCCTCTGGAGACCCATATATAGTGTTTTTTGTTGAATAATTTGGATGTGGCAAAAAGACAATTAGTTAAGGACCTAAATCTCTTGCAAAAATGTCACAGTCTGCTTTATAGCAATATATAGCTAAACCAGTATTCAAATCTAGTATTTACCTCAACTGCAGCTGTGTATTCAGAAGTATTCCTAGGTGGCAAACATGACTAATAAATCCTTGGTCTGCCTTAAAAGAACTTCTAGAGCCTTTGCTATCTTTTCTACTTTTCCAGTTCAGCTAAAATCACACTTATCTGTATTGAGCCTATCTCTGCCCCAGCTTGTGTTCATTTAGTACATGTACAACAGCAAAAGGAAGCAAATGTGCCTGCAAGTAAGGTTAGTGGATGCTTATAAAAAGGAGTGTATGCACATATGCAAGTATACACATGTAATGTGTGTGTATAAGGCAGGTTATTCAAATAAAGGATGTTTTAATAGTTAAATTGACAGCCATATCAGCACTGAATTTTGTACTAATGTATGTGTATGCATGTGCACAAATGTGTGAGCAAATCAGTCTGCATAAAATAGGTTCTAGGAAAAAAACATGTGCACACTCTTGGTTGTTCCCATACACATCTTTAGGAGGGCAAGGCTGTGTGTGAGTGTCTGTCAGTCTGACTGGCACTGACCTGTACTTTGTGCCCAAGGTAGTGGTTCTTGGTGATGCCAAGTCAGAATGCACCGATGATATTCTGGGCGGGGGTCCAATTTTACATCACATGATAACTGTGGGATTAAAAAGAAAGGGTGAACATGTCATGCATTCATATTGTACTGTCTAAGATAATAGAATAATGTGCTCAATTGTTTTTCCCTTAAAAACAGTCTTTTCAAAAACTTGCATTTTGAGGTCAGATGGTGTCTAGTGCAAGATTAAAAGCTGTAGAAGGCAGAGGCTGCAGTATTTAAGAGTCTGTAGTATTTCAGGAAATGCAACTGTGATATTGTAAAATATCTGAAGGAGCCTACATGCATTAAGTGGAATATTCCAAAACTGTTCCTTCAGTGAGAGTTTACAGATAGTATTTATCCAGAAAAAAAACCTGGTCTCTTTGGATTACATTATATAAAGATAAAAATGGTATTTGCATTTAAATTCTTGCTAGCTCTGACAAAAGGAAAATGGCCAGTCTTTGAAATGAAAAGACATACAGGCAATAGCTCATAATGGCAAATACATGCAAAAATGAAGGTCACTGCAAACTGCTCTCTTTTAGAATATTTTTGCTGTGAGATAAAGTCTGGATGCTTGAGGAAGGCCAAAGAGAGACACTGGATAAGCTGTAAGAGAAAAGTGCATAGCCAAGAACACTAAGAAAACTACAAAAGTTGACATATGCCTTGGTACTTTATTTAAATAAAAAATAGAAGAAGAAGAATACATTATAATAACATGCTTTAAATCTATATTAAATAGAGTTACAGTATCCATGATTTATTAGAAAAGTGGGAAGAGTTTAAGGAATTTATATTGCTTAGGGTGGGGGTCATGTGGGTTTTTTATATAAACAACTAAACAAAAAGGCTTTAAAGTTTGTATTTTTTATTGCTAATACAGAACTATCCAGCTCTAGATATTTGCATATTATTATGCAAATTTTACCATAGCCTAAAACAAATGTCTTTTTTAAGTAGGAAAGTATCCTTCCTGCCTGATTGGCAAAGGCTGTCTCCACATCTATATATCCTGCTCCATTAGATGGCAATCTAACTCTAAAAAATTACTATTACCATTAACAGAGACTGAGAATGTGCCTCTATTTGTGTGAATTGCCTTCCACTGCCAGAACTAGTCCAGGGCTCAGATTCCACAAACACAACAGTCTTTCAGAGCCCAAAGAGCTGTGTTTCAACATCTTGAAAATTTTTAAATAAAGGACAAGCTTCTTACCCTGGCTTTGATGATGGTGGGCCGAGGATCCAGGATACCCTGCATCTTCCTCAGAGCAGGAACAACAAAGAGATTGCAGGTGACGACAGCTGACACAGGATTGCCTGTAGGACAAAGAACAGTTGGTGCTGATGCCCTCTTGGTTTATTCTGAAATGCTGAAAGTGAACTTAGGTTTTATAGCAATTTCACTTTAAAGGGCTCTACAGAGCTTTTCATGCTATGCACTTCATACAGTACAGACTGCAGTGGTGTGTACCAAGGGGCATGTGGCAAGACCACTTGTTGAAAGCTACACTTTGGATGATGTGTGCTGAGGTCCTGTTCTGATGAGAACTGCTTCATGTTCCCCAGGCTTTACCATTTGCCTCTGTTCTACTGCCTTTGTACTATGCCTACATTTGTCTGGGGCTGGAGCAGAGTTAATTGTGCATAGGTATTGGCTCTATCCTCACAGGGCTGCTTATTCATGACTAATGGTTCCCAGACACCAAGGGAATAATAACTTTCAATTCCCTAACAGAGTAGCAAAATGCTTTAGGACAAATTCTGAGAAGAATCCTACTGATTTATATATTTTCTGTTGACTCACAAGAGAGGTGTATGACCACCTGTCAAACACCACTGTCTTACATATCTGGACTTCCCTAGACAACAGTTTTAAAACAAATACTATTATCAGATGGATGCTGCACTGATCTCTCCCCTGTAAGAATATGTAGTGCAGCAGCTAAAGCAAGAAAGGGTAGAAGCACTAGAGATACATCTGAAAACCACCAGCTTATCAAGAACAGGATTGCTCGTGTAGTCAAAATTCACGGAAAGCCAGAGCAACAAGAATAAAATAAATTCCTCCTCATTTAGAAGGACAGAAATCCATAATGAAATCTTTATTCTAAACAAGTGCTTCCCCAGGGCACACAGCCAGCAGTGCTGCAGCCGTACTGCCCTCTTTTGGTTCCACAGCATGAGCATGATAAACAAAAATATTCTGTGACATGTTTCTTGGCATTCCCTCATTTTTGTCTTAATTTTCAGTATGTCAGAGTGGATGCACTGACTTACACCCACAGAATATTTATGGTGAAGGTGCAGGGAGCTGTAGGAAAAAACACCCCTGTGAAAAATATAAGGAAATTGTTGGATGGAAGAAATCCTAAGATCTGTACCAGAAAATTCTCTAGGACAGGGACAAAAAAGAACTCCTTAGCACATCCTTGTAAGTCCGTATCTTCTGTAAATTTCTGAGAAAATCTTAAAGGTACCTTCCTTAGGTGCCAACATCAGGCACAGGTGCTGTGAAGTGTCACTATTCTGTTTCATGTCTGTCATCTATGTACAGCAACAAAAGTAATCCACAAAACCTCTTACCTGGAAGCGCAAAGATTATTTTTCTTACACCATCAATATCCAGAGTTGCAAAAGTTGTTGGCAGGCTATGGAAAAAGAAAGTTATTTAATACCTGCATTAGAATTTGACTGAACAATATTTGTATTATTTAAAACATTTGGAAAAGAAAATAAAAAAAAACAGGACATCTCTCTCTTCGAAGTTCATTAGAACCTGCTGGTTATTCTATTCTGGAGGTATAATCCTCTCTTTATAGTGACAGAGTAATTTTTCTTGATATTCAACTCTGAAGTTTTAAGTACACAAATTTAGAGAGGAAATATCTAAAAGGAAATGAACTAGTAACCAAAAATCTAAATTTTGTCTTCATGCTAGAAGCCAATTAACAATGAAGTACTACTTGAATTATGCAATTACAGAGCTGTCCTTGTTTTTAATATAAAGGTTTCCAGTTTTTTGTAACATTGGTGATTCTAATTCTCTTACTCCACTCTCTACAACATTACTACAAGGAAGCAGTATTTCTGAGTAGCTGGTCTGCAGATGAACAAATTCAGATACCACGGGCAAAGCTGCAGCCAGGTAACACCCAGGTCTATCAATGAAGAACCCTTTCTTGCCTTTCAGAGCTGCTCAGTGATCTTTGGTGACTTGCTGTGAGGGCTAGTACTGTTACACGAATAGGACAGTAATGTGACAGCTCAACAATATGGCTGGCAAAGAAAAGGGACTCATTTTATGTCAGTTTAATCCTTACAAACATTAGAAATTATACCATAGGAGCAATAATTAGGCTAGTTTCCTTGGCTTTATCTTGAGCTGACCACTTCCAACTGGCCAGCAGATGACAGTTTACAACTTTGAAGATTTACTGCACTTTGATCATTATTACCTAGTTTTGTATGTGTAAAGGCTCATCAATATCCTATCTTACCAGGGGAAGTTAGTGTTTGATGTTCCTGTTTTAAAATGCCTCTAACATGATGGGAACTATTAGAACTGTTAGAACCAGTGCAAAAACAAACCAATGAACAAAAACTTGAATTGCTAATTCATATTTACTGGAAACTCTGAATTCTTGTATGACACTTCAGCACCACCAGTAGTAGAATCTTCCAGTGTTTCCTTCTGTCAATGCAGCTAGACAAGATAACCTCACATGAGCTCAGCAACTTTCAGACCAAGTGGAGGGATGGTAAATCCTAAGCACTACCCTGCACTCATGAAGCACATCAAACACAGGCATACAACAAATTCTGATTTCCCTCTTGGAACTTACTCAAGGGATTTTTTTCCCCCAATATAGTAACCACAATCTACAGTCTTTTAAGATTCAGTTAATAAAATCCAAGATACAGTATTTCCTACTGCACTATAGCTAAGGAAAAAGAGAGTGCTTACATTCTCAGTAAGAACTGATGAGCAAATGTTTTGGTAACAATAAGAAATAAATTTCTCATGGCATAAGTTCAAAAGGGACATTTAAGGGAAAAAACCCATTTCTTGAAGTTTTTCCAGCTAGTTATTAAAAGTTCATTGCTGCAGGTCTACAGAGGACTGATCAGGAGAAAAAATTATGTTCACTTACAAGTAAGCCAGAACCAGAATTTAATACTCTGAATTCTCTAAATCGAGTTATCTATTTTTGTCAGAAGCAGAGACTGGAGTGCAGATTCTGCTTTTGGGACTTCCCTGCATCGGTTGTAGCCATATGACAGAAGCAGTGAGCAGTTTCCATGCCTGGGCTACATCCACCACGGGAAGAAACAAGCTTTTAGTCTCAGTCATTTCTTTTGTGGAAAGGAGGTGGTGGCAGGAGCAGCACAAGCACCAAGCCCACACGCAGTTCTTTACCAGACTGTATGCAGAGACAGTGAAAGTATTTGTCTGTTTTCACAGCAAACACCCACTTGTAGCTCTGCTCCGTGACAACAGCGCTGGGCTAGAGGGAATCATTCTGCAAAGCTGTGCTTGATCTTGTGTAGCTGGACCATTCTGACCCAACTTGCAAACAAACTGCCCTCTATAGGGAGGGGGGCAGAGGTGCAGACATCTTTCAGTTCTTGCACTGTGAAGAAAAGGGAACTCTCTGTTTTCGGTATGTCTGATTTTCATTCTCTCTGCAGAGCACACTTTCAGACTCACTGATAAGCAGTGCCACAGCACAGAAAAGCAATGCTGAAAGAGTTTTCTGAGAGAAACTAAACATATAAAGGACTCTGCTTATTTTAAAAATACTATGCACAATATGCCAATTAGACAAAGCTTAGTAAATTAGCTATAGTTCTGCCTCTCTCAAGGAACTGTTAGTAGGAATATAATTTATGCAAATTTTGAAGTGAAACGAGATACTCTTTAAGCAAACTGTCCATTTAATATCCTTATATATCCTGGTTATTTCATGGTAATGTCAATGTGACCTCTGTGATCGCACTGAAGGCTGTGGCAATGTTTATACTATGCTGGTTTCCCACCAGTCCGCAAACCTGATTTGCAACAGCTATCAGAGAAATATCTTACTGATAAAAATACTCTCTCTGTTCCAGTTAATTTCACCCATAAAGATGATGACTAATCTGAAGAGCACTGATTTTGCTGCTTTTCCCACATATATCTATCCTGTGGTTTATAGTATATTTGGAAAAATGAAATATACTGAAGCACTTCACTAGGATGTAGCCTCCATCTAGGCTGCCTAAGCAGAAAGATTTCTTACCCAGGTTTCATAAAAACTCTGCCAAAATGAATCTGTGCGTGAAGATCAATATCCAGCACCTGTTTAAGATAGTCCTGTTTAATAAAAAAAAAAATAAAAAAAAATTAAGTAACATCAAAGTGGATTTACATAATCTAAGCATTCAAAGCAATTAATTAATATCAAGTGAAGATGAAAATTTGCATATCCTGAAAGTGCTACAGCCCAGTGGGGAATTTTCAGCATTTGAAAGAAAATGTTTTGGAAAAGAAGAAGTAAAGAACAGATTCATTTAGGTGCCAAACCTGATTCCTGGAGGACATATATTTCCTTAAAATTCATCTGCAGCATCAGAATCTTAGAGCACCCCACAAATACCTACTACTAAAACATTCTCTATGTCAAAGATGGAAAAAACCCTTTGCAATTCAAAGCTAAGACTTTAAATGATCAAGTTATTTAAATTTTTCCATAGTAGCTATCTGGTCGTAGATTTAGACATCTCCTACTGCTTTTGAAATCAATACTGTACTGTAGAAATCAGAGTTTTCTAGGATACTGTAATTATGGTAATTTCTTAGGTCTAATGGTCTAATTCACAGCGGTTGGGTTTAACATTCCTTAGAAAGGAAAAACTGTGTGTGGCTTGTGAATGAGTTCAAGCAAAATGATTTTGTATAAACACAATTGATCCAGTTATTAAAACAAATGGAATTATTTGTTTACTCTTTATTGACAATTGCTGTGCCTAAAGATGTAGTACCCTATCTGTTGTGTTTAGTGAGGCTAAAGACGTGGGCCATAGCAGTCATCTGTGAAGACAGACTTTGAAAGCAATAAATCGGAAACTCCCTGTCAGTTAGCCCTTGTGCATGTGTGTGTCCAAGTACTTGGAAAGCAGAAACTCATTTCAGCCAGGTGTTAATTCTCAATTATTAATTGCATTAATCCCTCTTTTACTTTCTGTTTATTATTTGGATGCTTACAGCTAGTTCATTAAAACTGTAGAAAGCTCCATATCAGAGGGCAGACCATCAGTGGAACTACAGGCTATTGACTTTAGTCTTGTTGCCTCAAATTCATACTGGGGAGAAACGAACCAAAGGTCTGAATATCTGTAACACCATTCAGCAGTTCAGCCACTTCTTAGTGTTACTGTGTCTGCACTATGTTGCCACATTCCCAATTTAAAGACCAGTACTTGTCCTTGATTATTTTTCTAGGCATACTGGAGACAATGGGAGATTTCAAAGTTATTTGCACTGGTTTAATTAATGATCCATTTTCATTATGTATCCAATGATATGATTTCTACTCAGAAAAGTAAACAAAACCAGCACTCATGTTTCCCACCTCCTGATGACTATCTTTAGTATCTGTTAATTATAAAATATGTTTATTTTACCTGCCAATCTCACAGATTCAGCCTGGGATCAAAAAGCAATTTGAGTTTTCCTTCGCATAAGTCATGATTATTAAATGTCCTGCAGGTTCATCTATGCCCCACCAGCATCTGTGTATCCCTATTTTCTTTGATGGTTTTGGCACAGGGATAATCAACAGGAATTCAATCAACAATTCTGTTAATGATTCAAAAGGCAAATATATCAGTTCACTGGGTCTCATATGTATTGTCTGTAGGACTATCAGGCACAAAACATGATAAAATTATTTTTGTAACAGATAGAGCTTTGGCACATTCAGGAAACATGTGCTGAGTAAAAAAAATGCTATTTATATACTTAGGTTGCTTTTTGAAGTACTATCAAAGTACCTTAATTCTATCTACATTTTACCTGCTCTAAAAAGAAAGTCTATTGTCTTCATGTGCTATTAACACAGCACCTTCCTCATCTACATAAATCATTCCTTATATAAAAACATATTTGTAAATCACTTACATCAAGAATTAAAAGCTTCTCTGTTTACCATGTCAACTATAGTACAAAAACCAGAATGAATGGAATGAGCTTTGAATACTATTTTCTTAATTAATTCATATGTAAGTGTTCCAATAAAAGTAAGGTCCCTTTTTAATAAACATGAATACAAAGGTGGTAGCTTGGATGACAGACTCTCGTTTGAAATTCTTACATATATTGTAGGAAGTCAAACTTAAATTTTGCATACCTTTTCCCCCATAGATACACCTCCTGATGTAATGATCACATCAGCACGGCTGATACCCTCATTCAGTGCATTCAGTAAATCATCCGGGCTACAGGAAAGAACAGGCAAGCAGATTAGTGGCATGGAATTATTATGAGGTGTAATATAAACCAGTGTGCATACATACAGATGCATATACCACTTGCTTTAAGAGAATAACACAAGATCTTTTCCTTCTTAAGATTCCACACTGTTCAATTCTAATCAACAACTGCAATCTCATTAAGGGAACACCACACTGTTTGGCACCTTTCTGTTTAAAGTTTGCAACAGGAACAGTGGGATACTTTAGACTGGGATTGAAGAATGCTATTAGAAGTGTCTAATAGTATGTAATTGGCACCATAGGTAGTAATACAAATTGTGACTTAGATGAACTGACAGGGATATATAAAGGCACGGGACACATGAAAATTACTGACCACCAAGCACGCTGCAGTATTACCTGTCTAGCTTATCTGATGTGTGCAAAAATGGGGATGAGGCTCCACTTCAAATTTTGATCAGTGAAGAGTGGAAGTAAATCCTTTGTTTCTCTTCTCTGTTAGAGGGCTCTGCAGCAAAGCCACTTGTACATATTCACCTCAGCTTGCAAAAACACAATCTATGCTGTTAAAAGGTCTATTCACCTTCATGAGAAACAGTGAAATGGGAGCTATGATATTCTTCCGTACAAAGAGCATAACTATGAAGGAAATCAGTGTCCTAACTCTTTTCTTTCCATTTTAGATCTAAACTGGAAACTTTGATGTGAGCATTCAATATTTAAGAGCAGTACTGATGCTAATACAGAGCTTCAAGGCACACAGTGGAGAAACTCAGTAACACAACTCACACAGGTCCAAAGGAATTAAAACCAATTTCCAATATATTAAATTCATACTTTGCATTTAACATTTTGTGAACTGACCAGAAGTTGACCGGTTGCTATGACTGTATGTATTGCTTCTTCAACAGTATGCTTTCAGTTCAGTGATCCTGAAAGCTTTTCATGGAAGGCTGTTCCTACTTAGAATGTCATTGAAAAAATGGGCCATAATGCTAGTGACTGTATGAAGGCCTATACCTGGAATACAGCACCTCAGGTAAATGCCACACTACAGCTACAAAATGCCATTGTGGGTGATGAATGCAGGCTGAAAATGGTATGAGGGCTATCCTTTGAGAGCTTGGGCTGTATTTCATCTGAAAGTAGAGCTAGAGCAATAACTTTGAAGTTTGAGCTGAAAACACAAAAATTAGGAATATTATGCAAGTTCTAGCTGACTTTTCAGAGACTACCAGAAAATGTGTGTTTCCAAATGTCTCAGAAAGAAAAATCTTTTCCTCTGAACATCCTTTCTTTGCCCATGGTTCAGTAAAATATAAGCAGCAGTTAGCATGACATGCTGCTGTGTGCATTACAATTTATGTGATGCAAGAATGACCATACTCCCTCACCGAGTAAATAGCTCAGTGCATGCAACCTTGCACACGCCTCATCTCACCAGAGAGCCCTCTGGTGTCCTCTACCCTGGTTATGTCTTACAGGCAGAAAGACTCAAGACTCTTTCTCCACAATGTCCAGTGACTGAAGCACCATGTTCTTTGGCATCACAGTGTAGTCACCCTGCACAACTTTATTATCTATGCTGGGTTACACCCCTCTCTAGAGTCAGATTGCTTTGTAAGAGGTAGGCAACAAGACAGCAGAAAGAAGGACAGATTGCTGTAGACTGCAATCAATAGGATAGAATTATACACTGCTCCTGTTTCAGAGGAAATAGTGGCTGCAGTACTGTGGCATGCTATCATGACTATTGTTTTGGGTACTGGGTATCTTGGATGCTCTTAATGGCCTACAAAGAATGCCTAAACTCTTTTCTTTGGGAGAAAATAACCAGGCTCAAGCAAAACCTTCTCCTTTGTTCTTTAGGATATTGAGACATTTTATCAGCTGCCCCTTCTAAAATCTTGGGATTACTTTCTCCAAAACCCAGCACAAAATTTTCAGTAGTCATTGAAGCAAAGCAGAAAGAAGTAAGTCTGCTGTTGGCTACTTTTTCAAAACCAATTGTCTCATATTGATCATCTAAGTAGTATCTGTATGCAACAAGATATTATTTAAGATTATTATAGACTTTTTAATAGGAAAAGTCTCTCAAGATCTAAGTATTCCTTAATCCTTGCCAATGAGGCTGCTTGGAATGCAGCAAGAAATACATATTCATTACATAGGTCGATATTGGCATTCCTGAGGCTCGGCAGTCAGACATGTGCCACTATCAGCAGCCTAAGACTGCTTTCAGTACATTTTTCTCAGTAGGTTGTGATGGAGCTGAGGACCTTATCTTGAACTTGTTCCAGGCTAGTTCATTTTATCTTGCTTAATTATTTAAAAGTTATTCATAGGTAGAAAGACTACCTGTCTGGGGACATGCTAATTCTGGATAATGAAGTGGGCTTGCTTTCAGCTGTGGTTTGAGAATAATGGAAGGAATAGTAAAAAGCAAACAAGTATATATTTAATTGCTGTTAAAGTTAAATAGAATGGAAATGCAGCTACTTACATATGGAATATATATATATATATATGTATTTGTATATATATTAAATCACTTAAAAAAAAATTTCAGTAAACCCCCTTCCTCCTCCAAATAAGCCTAAACTCAAACCAGGAGAGGGCTCAATTCACTTACTTCCTTATGAGGACAGTGTAACACTAGACTAGTTCATCATTCAGGTATTTTTATTTTGTCGTGTAAAAAGCTGAACATTACTGGACTTGGTGGAAATTTTTAGAATTTCCAGTACAATGATCTGTATAATATACTCTTTTTCACCATTTTTAAATTCTTTTCTTTACCATCTGAATAGTGCAAGGCATTAAAAAATTCTACCACTACAACTTATCCAGGCAATAGCACTGCATATCATCTTTAACATAGTTACAGAATGAATAAAATTCTTTCAAAAGGAAAGGTGTGATAGAAATTTTGTTGCAATAAACTGAATAATTATGTTTGGTTTTTATTTTGAAAAAAGGAGACAGAATTCCCTCCCTTGCTGTTGCAGAAAATGTCTATTTTTTGACATTTTTGGCAGACTTCTTTTTGTCATTTAGGTCTGCTTAACTTTATGTTGTACTTAAGATGAGTAGTTCCATGACTCTGCAATTAGCACCAAACACTCCTTAAAGAAGTCCCCTGTTGCAGTCTTCAATCAACACTGTAGTGAACATTTCCCTTGCCTTTAGTGGATTAAAGCACAGTTATTACTCAAATTGCATATTAACACTGAGTTGATATAATCAGATAACAAGATACTACTTCTTGTTTCATTTGTTGTGTAACACTGAACAGCTGCTCCTTTAGATTGAAAAAGGAAATAAAAGGAAAGGGAATAAATAATGAAAACTATTAGATTCTGAAAGAACAGACAAGATAGTTTTGGCATCTGAGTATGGCACAACAAGATTGTTTTAAAAGACAGGTGACAAATTGCCATGAAGCTGAGAAAGAACACACACTGTCTGATCAGGTACAAATCAGAAGCAGAATACTGGATTAGCTAGATTAATGGTCTAATTTGCTACAATAAATGCTTTAAAATATCTCGTCAAAGTGCTATTCTTGGATTTTTTTTCCTTCATGGACAGAACTGTAACAGGTGCTCAAATATAATGGTGAATACCTTAATCAATGTAAAGTAGATTTTGATGGGAAGTCTCATTTCCAGATGGCAAAATTACTCTGTTTCATTTGGTGATTTTCAAAGTCAGAGTGACATTGTGCACAAAAAGTGAATGTGTTTTTCTAACATGCTGCAGCTTATTAAAAAAGTTATACTCAGATATGATTCAGATTATATCTGATGATCTTTTGTTAATACCTTGAAGAAAGCTTGTTATTTAAGGACTGCATACAGTTTATGAAACTATGCATATACACAAGTAAGGAACAAATCCAAACTTTCTTTCAACACCTGGAGCAGATTGTGTTTGCATAAATATTATCTGTATTTTACATACATTTTTGAAGCTGCATAGTAATTTGCATAAAGAGTGCATATTTTTTTAAACTATATATTCTCTGCTAATTTTGTCAGCCTGATAAACAGAGTATCTACTCTACTATCCCAGTTTCCTGATCCTTCTTGTTCCGTTTTGTGGAACAGAATGAGTAGTACAATCTGGAAATTGGTTGGAGAGTAACTATTGTACAATGGCAGTAGCAAGCATCAAGTATGCAATGTGTGACATTGCAGCTGGCACTTGTTTTCATTGATTTGAAGAGAGGACTTGCAGGATGGCAGTACAGCAGGAACACCTTCTGGATTTAATGAAAATTTCTTGTTATCAAAATTAGTTTGTGGAAAACTTATTCAACACTTGAGCCATCAAGTGAGCTATCTTTGAACTGCAAAGATGTACAAGAAAGCTTAAGATCTTGAACAAGAAAATGATGTAAGCCTCATTAAAGTAGACATTAGGCATGTAAATTTTCTCCTTTCCACTCTCAAAAGAAATAGCTACATTATAGTCAAGACCAAAGAATTCTCTGTGTTTTAAGTGCCAGTTTGAAGTACCCTAAATTACAGTGTAATTTTCTCTTTCACATAGAAATCAACACATGTTAATTCACTTTTGTTGATCCTATTGTTGTGCTTCACTGTCATTAATTACCAATCTGTCAGCTTTTTCTGTGATACAACCCTTAACAGCAGCAGTTTGATACATGCAATTAAATCACTCAGTTTTATAATTTAATATAGAAAACAAATAACAGCAAATGTTCAAAAAATCACCTACCACTCTGCAGTAAAATGAGAGATCCCAGTTAAAATGGAACTAGAACGTTTAGTTAGGACTGACTTATCAGACCATTGTCACAGTACAAACCCCATAGTTCATTACTAATTTCCAGGCCCATTTCCAACATGTTCTTTGTCACAGAAGTCTCGTTCATTCAATGTAACCTTGTTACCTGACAGTCACTTCCAGCCCTTGCTGCCCATTGCCATATACAGCTGTTACTATTGTGTGACTAACAGAAACATTTGTGGTTGTTG